AGCAGCATTATCATCTCGTCGTTCGTCCCAAGTCCCTCAACAAAGGCAATGTCGGCGCGCCTGCATCACCAGCTGCCGCGTCCGCCGAGGTCACCGCGGCCTGCTTCGCGTAGATGGATCCGTTCGGGTCGTCCGAGCTCGTCGCTGGCGCACAGCTGCTGGAGCGCTGAGGCTGCGGAGAGTCACCACGACGCCGCGCCGCGTCGGCTTTGAGCTGCTCCTGCGAAGCCTCCAGCGCCTGCTGCAGGAACCTGTTCTCGGCCTCGACCCTGGCCGCATGCTCGCGATCCGCCTGCGCCTTCGACTCCTTGTACACCTGCAAGATCGCATCGTCGTCGGAGTCCATGGCGTCGTTCTTCGAGGGCTTCTTGCTGTGGCGCCTCTCGCGTTCCAGCAACTTGAAAGCGTCGTCGGCGGCCTGCCCGAACCCGCTCATCATGGCATCGTAGGCGCCCTTGTCGAAGGAGTCCTCGGCCTTCGCCACGGGCTCGATGCCGCCTGCCTGCCCAGAACAACTTGGCTCTGCACCTGCCGAGGCGCCATGCGCCCCTGACTCGGCGGCCTGCGAGGCGAGGGGCGCCGATGCGCCAGACGTCCCTGAGTCGGCGGCCTGCGAGGCGACGGGCTCCGAGGCGCGAGACGCCCCTGACTCGGCGGCCTGCGAGGCGACGGGCTGCGAGGCGTCGACCTCCTCGATGTCGACCTCCGCGCTGCCGACCTGCGAAGCCCCGACTGCACGTGCGGCCGCTGCAGCGTCATACGGGACGGTCTCCGCCTGCTGCTGCTCTGGGCCCCCATCGTCCTCCGTCTCCGAGCCGATGGCGTCGGGCTCCTTCTGCGTGGCGCTCTCGACGAGCGTCTCCGCATCCTCGGGGCGAGCGCCGCGGCCTGCGGCCGCTTCCCAACTCTCTGGGCTCATGCCGCCGTCGTAGCTGCTGCCTACGCTCACCATGGGTCGGCCGCGAAAGCCCCAGCGGCGCGCCCTCGCCACTGGCGATCTGGCGCCAGGGCACAGCCCGCTCGAGCCAGAGCGGTGCGGTGCGAAGGCAGAGCCGAGTCCCCCCGATCCCCCTCGAGCGCACCGTGGCGCTCTCGACGAGCGTCTCCGCATCCTCGGGGCGAGCGCCGCGGCCTGCGGCCGCTTCCCAACTCTCTGGGCTCATGCCGCCGTCGTAGCTGCTGCCTACGCTCACCATGGGTCGGCCGCGAAAACCCCAGCGGCGCGCCCTCGCCACTGGCGATCTGGCGCCAGGGCACAGCCCGCTCGAGCCAGAGCGGCGCGGTGCGAAGGCAGAGCCGAGTCCCCCCGATCCCCCTCGAGCGCACCGGTTTCGAGCTAGCCTGAAGGCCATCCTAGCAAATCGTTCAGGCATACGTCGCTCGCGCTCGAGACTTCCTCATACGATTCGCTCGGGACTTCCGCGCAATACTCGGGACACCCAGAATATATGCAAGACCATTTCAACATCCAAAACAAACATAACCATATTTGCACAGTATGGTTTTTAAGATACACGCATGCAGATATGCCGTGCTGAGTGCGCCGACCCTATATGGTGTTTTACATATTGGGCGCTCACTTACATATGTTACAACCTATAGTTTGTTGTACAAATAACGATATGTCTGCTATGCTATTGTTATGGTGATGCTGACTTGATGATGTATGTTGTGATGATTGAGCCAACCTTAGCGGATCAACTTTTCATTTTGCGGTTCAATATCTAAGTTGAACACATACCGTCGGATCCAAAACAATCTCGTGAACCTCACTGAAGAAACTTGAACAGCGGATCCACTTCCATTGATCCGCGACCCTCTGGGTTCCACTTTTCTTGCCGGCTCATCCGGCTCTGCATCCAGATTGGCTGCCCTGTCTTTTTGGAGAACCCTCGCGGGTCGCTGCTCTGGCACGCCCCCGAGATGGTCAAGCTTCTTTCAGACGCATCGTGCGCCATTCACAAGATGGACATGTGCCGATTCGGCACACCCTTTAAGAAGCCGACTACAGTGGCCTGCTGGAATGCAGGCGTCTTCCCCAGCTTATGTAAATCGTGCTCTGGCAAGGGAGGCTTTTGCTCATCCACTGGCCTGCCTCACCTCATCCTCCAAGGCCGAGACAAAGGTGCGCCCGCCCGCCGCACCGAACTGGCCGCGGCTTACTCTCCTCAATTCGCCCGCTCGGCCGCCCTTGCCATGACACACTCTGCCAACGCTCTCAGAGAGAAATGGATGATGGATGCTGCTTTCAAAATCACGTAGTCTCTTTTTGGTAGTTTAGGTTATTACACGTGCGTAGTTCGTTTTCGGCCACTGGTGTGGCCAGGACTGCTCTGCGGGATTCGGGTGGCTCTCATCAGTGTCTTCGAGGGTGTGCGGCTATCGCCGGGATCAGCTGTCTCATGTATAGCCTCCGGTTTGCCGTGGCCTCGCCCTCCCGCGCTCGTCCCCATAGTAAATACATCGTCCTGGCATCTGGGGAGTGGAAGTAGCTGATCCTTTTAACAAGTGTATGCTGCGTACCACGGCGAAGTTGCCGCACTTGATGGTCATCCGTTGCCATATCGCTCTAGCCTCCCCTCCCGCTCCTCCCTTGCTCTCTCTCGTTTGCACGGATTTCAGGTGGCTCTCATCAGTGTCTTCGAAGGTGTGCGGCTATCGCCGGGATCAGCTGTCTCATGTATAGCCTCCGGTGTGCCGTGGCCTCGCCCTCCCGCGCTCGTCCCCATAGTAAATACATCGTCCTGGCATCTGGGGAGTGGAAGTAGCTATAAATATATATATATATATATATATATGTTGAATAAAAAAAAAGAACTTTGTATACATTTTATGGCCGTCGGCCTTCGGCCCATCCCGCCACCGTGCCTGGGCTGTGGATGTGAAGCAACTTGAATGTTCGCTGGGATTTCATGAGAGGCCTCTTGGGCGCCGCTTGGAGGCACTTTGAAGGCTTCTTTTGGGCGTCTTGGGGGCTTACTGGGGCCTCTTAGGGGCCTCTGGGGGCCTCCTCGGCGCCTCTTGGGGCATCTTGGGGACTTCCTTGGGGCGGAAGGATTGGATTTTCGGTTCGTTCTTGGGCCGTCTTGGGGTGGTTTGTCGGCCCACTAAGGGCCCTCTGGGAGCGTCGGGAAGCCGAAACGTGAGAACGCCAAGAACCTTGGAAACCTGAAAGGCAAATCTATGCGTTGGGCCTCTTGAGGCCACTTGGGAGACCTCTTGGAGGCCCCTTTGGGCGTCTTGGAGGCCTCTGAGCCGTCTGGGGGCCATCTTGACCGTTTTGTAGCGATGGTTTGGCGACTCGGGCCCCTCTTGGATCGTCTTGGGGGTCCCTTGGAGCACTCTTCGCCCGTCTTGGGGCCTTTTTGGGCACCGAAAAGTCACGTGACAAGATGTGGGGGAACCCAGGGGGCACGCGGAAAACCTGGGTTGATTTCGGAATTTGGGGCCCAGGTCCTTAACATATTCTTCATAACTGAGGATTGAGGCTCCAAGGATTCGGCAAAGGACCTGGACACGCCCACTCCGTGCCCACAGGCACGGTGGCGGATCTGTACATACATATATACACACATATACATACATGCATGCACACATGCGTACGCACATGCACACATACATACGTACATACTCACATACGTACATACATACATGCATACATACATACATGTACGCATGCACACATTCATGCATACATGCATACATACATGCACACATGTGTGACCATGCACCGAGAATAGAGAGGGTGGACAACGACCACGACGTGCGCATACACATACATGGACATACACAAACACATGTACACATACACATATATACACATATGCACATATACATATGCGTGAACACATACATATGTGTATGCAGAGACATTGGCATACAAAATGCGTATACATATACATATATATCTATAGTATACTATATATATATATATATATATATATATATATATATCCGTATGCATGTGTGTAACCGTGTGTATGTCCATATGTACACACATGCGCGTATACAAATGCACATACGCACATGTGTATATACATCTACAATACAAATACCCGTATTTTCACACTCACGTTACATAGCCATATACATACACATAACCATATCCATTCACAACTATATACGCAGATGCATGTACGTACGTGTGTTCATTTACGTACACCTACACATACGTATACGAATACATCAACATACGCAACACACGTATACATATACATATTCGAATATGTATACGCATACTGCGTTTGTGCATATACATCTGTATATATATATAGAGAGAGAGAGAGAGAGAGAAAGAGAGAAACAGGACACATTGACAACACATGAAAACACGATTGCGTGCGGGGCGCTGTTGCTCTCTCGCCAAGGAAATGTCGCTCCGGTGCAGGCTCATCGACCACGTCACTGCGCGGAGCTCGGTGCGGCAAGCTCAACGTCCTCCCTTGTCTCCTCCTCCTGCTCCTCCGTGTGCACGGCTGAGGAGGTGGAGGAGGAGGAGGAGGAAGAGGCGGAGAACGAACATGAATGGGAGGGAGACGGCAAAAGGATTCGGTGTTGGAGGAGAAGGACAGGCAGCAACTGTATCAGCAGGAGGAGGACGAAGACGTCGAGAGCTACGACGTCGAGGGTGCTAGACGATCAGGCAGGGGCGCCCGCATTCCTCGGGCCATCCCGTGTTCGAGCTGCGAGGGGCGCTGGGTTGCTGGCAGACCGCCGGGTCTTGTGCGTATGCCTCATTTCGTGGTTGCTCCGCCGTGCCTGCACGGGGGGGTCCGCGGCGGCCAAGTGATTGCATGCCGCGAGCAGGGATGAGCAGCAGGAGGAGGTAGAGGAGCAGCGCGGTCGGAGAAAAGGCCGCGGCAAGCGAATTGTATGTTCCTGGCGCGCTAAGATGAAGGGATGCAGAGACCCTCTGTGGCTCTACACCGTGGACCTGGACCCGCAGAACCTCGAGGCGCCATTCCCCGATTCCTCGACTCTTCGACGTACCAAGCGCAGGGTGGTCTGATTGCATTCGGGAACGCCGTTGGTTGGGTTCGGTTCGGCATGGTAAGCTTTTCTGTTCGGCTCGGTGCGGGATCGTGGGTTCTACGGTTCAGTGCGGTCCAGTGAGTTTTGGGGTCTTGCATAATGATCGACCCATGCTGGTTCGGATCGCTCAAGTCCAGTTCGGGCGGTCGGCTTGATCGCGGAGCCGCCCTGCCAGAGGTCGGGGGTTGAGAACCAAGTGGGCCCAACAGGGACATCAGTTTCGCTTTCGTTTCTGGTCGCGCATGCGGGAGGGGCGACGAAGTGTCGGCCTGGGCTGGAGCCACGTCGAGACAGAGGTTGCTCAGTGGGCCTCGCGGGTCTTCCCGTGGGTTGTCCCGTGATTGTCCCGTGATTGTCCCGTGGTTGTCCCGTAGGTCGTCCCGTAGGTTGTCCCGTGGTTGTTCCCCGGGTTGTTCCTTGGGCAGGTTGTCTCCGATGTTTCCAGTGGTTGCCGCGTGGGTTGCCCTGTGGGCGGTCCTGTAGTTCTCTCGTAGATTATCCCCCGTGAGTGGCGGGTTTTCTCGTGGTTGTTCCATGGGTGGTTTGTCCCGTGGGTTTGCCGTGCGTTCTTCCTTGTTTGGTCGGTGGGTTGTCCCGTTGATTGCCCTGTATGGCCCCATGATGACGCTTGGTAATCTGCATTCGTTCTCACGTAGACATGCCAGGAGTTGCCTCCTAAGGTTGTATTGTGGCTCTTCCGTGGGGAATGCAGCTTACACATACGGCACTTACATTGATATATATTGACTGACATCGATCATTTTGCACAGTATATCAGAGTGAGGGGCCTGAACTGTGTTTTCACCATCCACACTCCGTGGGTGCACGGGTGGCGTGGGATTCCCCGACGTTGAGTGTTGTTGTTGGTGTTGTTGTCGTAGTCGCCATCGTCGTTTTTGTTGTTGATGTTGTTGAATTCTATTCTCATTTCTGAAGAAAAATTATTGTTGATCCCCCCCCACCGGTGCATACTGTTTTTTCTCAATCAAAGTGTGCCCCTCGACGCTCGCACCTTGTTTTTTGACAGGGAAAGTCTTGATGCTCAAACTGGGCCCTTGGCTCCCGGGTTACAACAACATCGGCTCCCGCCTGGGACTTCCTTACAATTTAGCAAGGATCCCCGCTGCCGTCCGAGACTTCCTCGCATTTTATTCAGGAATCGCGCTCTCGCGCGGGACTTCAATGTATTCAGGAATCGCTCTCCCGGCGCTCTGGAGTCGCGCTCTCGCTGGAGACTTGCTAGCAACTTCCTGAAGAATGGCCTTGCGTTGGAATTTCTTGCAATTTGCCCAAGCGCCGTGCTCCCGACACCCAGGCACCCAGGAGTCGCGCCCGTTGTGGCCCCATGTGCATGCCCTTCGTGGCCCCGCTGTCGCCATTTGTGTCCCCCTCACTGTCCTACGTGGCCCAGTTGCTACCCTCAGTGGCCCCATAGTTGCCTTCTGTGGCCCCGCATTATCTGCACTTCGTGGCCCCCGCTCGTTCGCGCTCTTCGTGGCCCCATACGCATTCCCTTCGTGTCCCCGCTGTCGCCCTTCTTGGCCTACTTCGTGCCCTTCGTGGCCCTGCTGTCGTTCTCTCTCGCTCTCGCTTTCTCGTCGTCGCGTCGTCGTCGTCGTCGCCGTCGTCTTCGACGTCGTCGTCGTCGTCGTCGTCGTCGTCGTCGTCGTCGTCGTCGTGGTCGGTCCCCTGTCCGTCCCTCTTGGGGTCGGGTCGACGGTCCGCGGCCGCCCCGCCGATCAGCGCTGCCGCTGGCCAGGCCGACGGTCCGCGGCCGCCCCGCCGCTTGCCGGGGCCCGGCCTGCAGGGAAGAAAGGTATACCCCCCAAAAGGGGTTGGATCGAAGACGAAGAGGGCGGGTATCGAGGGTTTGGGAAATACGCGTTATTGGACACTCGAGCATATAAGGGCGAACGGTCTTAAAATTATTGGTGTTGTTGTTGCTGCTGTTGCTGTTGTTGTTGTTGCTGTTGCTGTTGCTGTTTTTGGTTGTGTATGTGTTTTGTTTGTTTGTTTGTGTTTACGTTTGTATGTTTGTGTTTGTTGAACGCTCGTGTTGATTGAATGAGTATAGTTGCCCCCCCTGCAGGGTGCACGCTTCGTTTTTCAATTCAGTGCTCCTCTTGGGAATAGCACCCTGCTTTTTAATAAGGGAAAGTCTTGGTGCTCAAACAGTGTCCCTGGCCCCCAGATTACAACAACGGCTCCCGCCAGATACTTCCTCACAAGTTATTTCACTTTCGCGCTCTCGCGCAAGACTTCGTGATAATGTCTACAGGAATCGCGCTCTCGCGTGTTACTTCTCCACAATGTGTTGCGGCGCCGTGCCTCAAAGTTTCAGGAGTCACGCTCTTGCGTGGAATTCCTAACGATTTACTTGGGATTCGCGCCATCGCTTACGCTTCAGCGACCCGCCCGCTTGATTTGGCCGTTTGGGTCCGCCCGCCCGACTTGCCCATACAGGGTCCGCCCGCCCGACCCACCAGTTTGGGTCTGCCTCTTGCGCTCCCTCTTAACCCTCCTGCACTCTCTCTCGTGCTCCATCATTATCCCTCCCCCGTGTCTCTTCCCTCCTTCCTTCCTTCCCCTGCTTTAGGGGCTGCGGGCTGCGTCAACTACACGCGGCAGGTGGGGAAGACATACTCCCAAGTGGGGTACGATCGTAGACGAAGGGAGGGTATCGAGGTATTGGGACATACGTGTATACGTGATGAATGGCATGCGAGCAGATTAGAGCGAACAGTCTTAAAATGATTGTTTGTAGTTGTTGTCGTCCTCCCCCGCGACACCCCCGCGACCCACCCCGCGACCCTTTACGCGACCCACTAGAGACCCATCCCGCGACCCACCCGCGACCTACCCAGGACCAACCCACATTGCGTTGACAAAAATATGTGCTCGCGGCTGGTTCGTTGCGTGATGTGTAAAAATTCGGCGCCTGCGGCGCGCTTCATCAAAATTGCCTCCGAGCCTCGCAGACGCTTATTCGCAACTGCGGGGGGCCATTGTACAGATTGATCGGTGCATTTATAAAACATGTACACAAGACTGCATTGGCGCTTCGCGCCATGCACCTTGGTCCTTGAAGTTTGGTATACAGGCGAAGTGGCAGGAAGGTCGAGCCGACAATGTAACGATGACTCCTTGTTGCCTTTTCGGGCATCGCCGTTCTGATAATGATTTTTGCTGTCATTCCCTCAAGTTGCTTTTTTTCTACTCTCGCCATACCCTGCGTCTTCTTCCCATCCTCCTCGGCTCTTTTTGCGGAGGCTCCTCCTTGTATAGCCTCTGGGGGCCTCACATTTTTTCAGGTTTTCTGTAAGGCCTGGAGGCCTCCTGGGCGTCTTCTGGGGACCTCTGGGGGCTTCCTCGGGCCAACCTGCCTCCAACCGCGGTCTCCCTGAACGACTGGGTCACGATTTGGAATATTTCGAATGGTGTTTTGGGGCCACCTTGCGCCGACATGGGGCTCGCTTAGGCCATCTTGGAACCCTGTTGTGCCGTCTTGGAAGCCCTTTCCCATCGTTGTGGGGCGATTTTCGAGCCTCCCAGGCGGCTTCGGACGCCCAGAAGACCGCCGTCTTGGAGCGTCGGGAAGCCGAAAAGAGGAGAGCCCCAGAATCCACCAGAAACCAATAGAAAATCAATGAATTTTGCCTCTTGGGGCCGTCTTGGGAGTGCTCTTGGAGACCTCTTTGAACGTCTTGGAGCGATCTTTGGGGGTATGACGGCTTCTTTGGGGTCGTCGTGGACCGTCTTTGGGATCTTTGGGGTCGTTTTGGGAGCGCGCCGGAACGCTTGGAGCCCTCGGGCTCTCGTGGGGTTCTCCCGGGTCGTCTGGAGGGTTGCCCGAGAGGCCCGGGGTGGGCCAAATTCGTTGGGGAGATCTTTTTTCCGCGGTCCCCGGCCCTTTGAAAATGTAGGAATAGGAATAGATTTGTACATGCAAACACAGACACACACATATACACACATATATATGTATGTATGTATGTATGTATGTATGTATGTACGTACGTACGTACGTACGTATGTACGTATGTACGTATGTACGTATGTACGTATGTACGTATGTACGTATGTACGTATGTACGTATGTACGTATGTACGTATGTCTCTCTCTCTCTCTATATATATATATATGTAGATCGATATATACACATTTTTTTACAGTTTTGCAATCCAGGGGGGGTGGGACCCCCCCCCTGGGAGACTGGACTTCCTGAAACCCCCGATTCGGAGACCCCGGACTCCCTGGATTCCCTCATCTGTTTCGTGCCTGCGGCCCCCGCACGCCCTCCCAGGCCTCTGGACGTCCCGCACGTCCACCCGAAGCCGTGGCAACGGGCCAGCGGCCGGCACCCCAGACGGTCCCAAGAGGGACCAGAAGACGCCCCAGAACCTGCCCCAAACGCCCAACATGGCCCCAAGACGGCCCAAAAGAGACTTCCAAATCGCTGCAAGACCCCTCCAAGAGGCCTCCGAAGAGGGCCCCAGTGGCCAACATCGCTGATTTTCCATTGTGTGTTTCCGATGTTTTCGGCTCGCCTTTTCGACTTCCCGACGCTTCGAGGCGGCCCCCGAGGCTCCCAAGAGCGCCTCAAGACGGCCCAAGCGGGCCCCAAGACGGCCCAAGAAGTGCCCAAGAGGGCCCAAGAGGGCTCCGAGAAGGCCCCAAGAGGGGCCCGCGAGGGCCACGGAAAAATCCCAAATCTACCTTTCCGCCCCGAGAGGGCCCCAGGAGGTCCCAAGAAGGATCCAAAAGGCCCCAAGAGGCCCCGAGAGAGGTGGGAGTCTCCCAAGAAAGCCAATGGAAGCTTCCAAGAAGAATGCTCAGAAGGCCCCTCAAAGCCCAAAATTCCGAAGACGGCCCAACGGGGGCCCAAAACTCCCCAAAAGAGCCCCAAGAGGGCTCAGAACGTC